TTAGAGGATTGTTACCAATACATGTTGTGATGAAATTAATTTTATTTATACAGCACAAATTACAACAACTCTTAAACTAATACACTGTATAACTGCCCTAAGTGAAGGAATATTAATATAGAAAGCACAGAGAAATTCACTTTTACAAGGATACTCACTTCCGCCCCAGCCCGGGGTTGAACTCTCGACCTACGGAATCTGTCTCCTAGCAGTACAGGAACAGCGCGTTAGACCGCTCGGCTATCTAGGCAAGTTAAAAAACTTGCTTTCGATGCCGATGGAATTCTCACAACGCTGCCCTACACTACACGGTCATTGAGAATGGAAGTGAGATACAGTTATTTGGACATTAGTTTTTAGAGGATTGTTACCAATACATGTTGTGATGAAATTAATTTTATTTATACAGCACAAATTACAACAACTCTTAAACTAATATAACTGCCCTAAGTGAAGGAATATTAATATAGAAAGCACAGAGAAATTCACTTTTACAAGGATACTCACTTCCGCCCCAGCCCGGGGTTGAACTCTCAACCTACGGAATCTGTCTCCTAGCAGTACAGGAACAGCGCGTTAGACCGCTCGGCTATCTAGGCAAGTTAAAAAACTTGCTTTCGATGCCGATGGAATTCTCACAACGCTGCCCTACACTACACGGTCATTGAGAATGGAAGTGAGATACAGTTATTTGGACATTAGTTTTTAGAGGATTGTTACCAATACATGTTGTGATGAAATTAATTTTATTTATACAGCACAAATTACAACAACTCTTAAACTAATATAACTGCCCTAAGTGAAGGAATATTAATATAGAAAGCACAGAGAAATTCACTTTTACAAGGATACTCACTTCCGCCCCAGCCCGGGGTTGAACTCTCGACCTACGGAATCTGTCTCCTAGCAGTACAGGAACAGCGCGTTAGACCGCTCGGCTATCTAGGCAAGTTAAAAAACTTGCTTTCGATGCCGATGGAATTCTCACAACGCTGCCCTACACTACACGGTCATTGAGAATGGAAGTGAGATACAGTTATTTGGACATTAGTTTTTAGAGGATTGTTACCAATACATGTTGTGATGAAATTAATTTTATTTATACAGCACAAATTACAACAACTCTTAAACTAATATAACTGCCCTAAGTGAAGGAATATTAATATAGAAAGCACAGAGAAATTCACTTTTACAAGGATACTCACTTCCGCCCCAGTGCCCCATAATATAATAATATATATTAATATTCCTTCACTTAGGGCAGTTATATTAGTTTAAGAGTTGTTGTAATTTGTGCTGTATAAATAAAATTAATTTCATCACAACATGTATTGGTAACAATCCTCTAAAAACTAATGTCCAAATAACTGTATCTCACTTCCATTCTCAATGACCGTGTAGTGTAGGGCAGCGTTGTGAGAATTCCATCGGCATCGAAAGCAAGTTTTTTAACTTGCCTAGATAGCCGAGCGGTCTAACGCGCTGTTCCTGTACTGCTAGGAGACAGATTCCGTAGGTCGAGAGTTCAACCCCGGGCTGGGGCGGAAGTGAGTATCCTTGTAAAAGTGAATTTCTCTGTGCTTTCTATATTAATATTCCTTCACTTAGGGCAGTTATATTAGTTTAAGAGTTGTTGTAATTTGTGCTGTATAAATAAAATTAATTTCATCACAACATGTATTGGTAACAATCCTCTAAAAACTAATGTCCAAATAACTGTATCTCACTTCCATTCTCAATGACCGTGTAGTGTAGGGCAGCGTTGTGAGAATTCCATCGGCATCGAAAGCAAGTTTTTTAACTTGCCTAGATAGCCGAGCGGTCTAACGCGCTGTTCCTGTACTGCTAGGAGACAGATTCCGTAGGTTGAGAGTTCAACCCCGGGCTGGGGCGGAAGTGAGTATCCTTGTAAAAGTGAATTTCTCTGTGCTTTCTATATTAATATTCCTTCACTTAGGGCAGTTATATTAGTTTAAGAGTTGTTGTAATTTGTGCTGTATAAATAAAATTAATTTCATCACAACATGTATTGGTAACAATCCTCTAAAAACTAATGTCCAAATAACTGTATCTCACTTCCATTCTCAATGACCGTGTAGTGTAGGGCAGCGTTGTGAGAATTCCATCGGCATCGAAAGCAAGTTTTTTAACTTGCCTAGATAGCCGAGCGGTCTAACGCGCTGTTCCTGTACTGCTAGGAGGCAGATTCCGTAGGTCGAGAGTTCAACCCCGCGCTGGGGCGGAAGTGAGTATCCTTGTAAAAGTGCACTTCTCTGTGCTTTCTATATATATATATATATATATATATATATATATATATATATATATAATTTAAGAAAAATCCAATGTTTTGGTACAGTAAAATATATCCAATGAAAAAAAGTCAGAAATCACAAATCTCGAAAATCATTTTTTTTACAGTAAAAATGATTTTCGAGATTTGTGATTTCTGACTTTTTTTCTTACTTTTAATAATTTCGTTTTTCTTATATTTATATCTATATATATAGATATATAGATATATAGATATATATATATATATATATGTCATAGTTATGAAGAATACAATCCATCTACACACTTTGACTCATGGTTACAATAAAACTCAAATGCTTATTACTTCCATTGTATAATTTATGGCATCATTTTTTTTTTACTTGTGTAAGCTTCATCAGGAATTAAAAATCCATCTACATACTTTGACTAATGGTTACAATATAGAATTCAAATGCTTATTCCTTCCACTTTATAATTTATGGCATCATTTTTTACTGTATATGAGCTTATTCAGGAATTAGAGATAGTGTATACTCACAGCATACACCAGGTACTTGACGTCCTGTCCTACAGCAGACAGAGTTCTACAGAGGTACTCCGTTGTCTCGTACGACCAATTCTCCAGGTAAACCTTCACCTGGGCTTCATTCTGGAACAACATTATCAAATTACTGACAGTGCAACATGCTTGTAATGTCATCTAAGAAATGCAACAATTGTGCACTTAAATACTGACAGTAACATATTAATGTCAAAACTATTTAAAAGTACATGTACTTATAGATACAGAGTATTTACTCACTTCTTGCTCTAAGAATTTAAAGAGTCCCAAAGCATACAGATCCAATTCATGTCTGAAAGTGCTGTGTTAAGGAAAGATAATTATTTAATTCAAGAATTAATTGTTTTTCTATTCATGATAAACACAGTATTAAATGTTTCTGATTAGAATCAATTAATCTCTGAGAGGATATTGATCTAGCATGTTGTCGTGGAGTGTGAGGAAGCATACGATGTGGGACCTGGTCCTCGTGTCTTTACCCGAGTCTCCGCTCCCGAGGTTGATGTCAACGTTACTGGTGTCTGCTCCACTCAACATACAGAAATAACAGGACATCTCTCTTTGTAGTTCACCCTCCCTGTGCCAACAAACAATCACAACATGGCTACTGTCAAAACCTTGTCTTTTGAAACCTACATACTTTGCTATTACATTTAGAAGTATTTTTTTTCCAGTAAACACATTTGGAAATGTATGATAACATATGATTTCACTTCACACTTATCTTATGACATAACACACAAAAATACATTTCTTAGAGAAATAAGGAATCAGCAGAATATATATATCCTGCTAATAAATCAAACCTGTACACAAAGGAAGCGATGCTGCCAGCATCATTGTAGAGTAAACCCTTCGAGATCTTACTGAACAGGAACTGGGAGAGGTCAGGCTCTATGGAGTCTGGGAGATCACTCAGAACATGAGACAAACTAAAACAACAATCAATGCAAATAAATCAAGACTGGGTTAAAAATGGAAAATGCACATAAAATCTTCATTTATACATGTAGCTACTAACAATCTTCCTAAGTGTTAGCCATTTTTTCTGTCATAACTTAATATAGCATTGCTGCTGCTTTGAAACAAATATTCTTGATCAATTTTGATTTTTTATAATGATAATTTTTTTTTTTTTAAATCATGGTTCTTGTAATATAATACTGTTGGATACTTTCCAAGACCCATTTGAATAGTCTGCCAACAGTCATTAAATGTTAAGACTCAACTAGGACAACAACAAATATTTTACATGTATTATCAAATATGGTAACTTAACTCAATGAACTCCCATTGTTTATATCTTTAAAGATTTATGGTCCATTTTTGGAGAAGGGGAAGATTGCAACAAAAAACTATTTGCTAATTCCTATGCATTGATATTAATTTTTCACAGGATTTTACCCTTTTCTATAAATTATTTGCACTATATACTTATATACTGTGAAATCACAAATTTCCGCAGGGTTTAATCTTCGTTGTTTTAGAGGTATGAATAGACCCATGAATTTATGTCGACAACAAAATGTAAAATGTTATGTACATAACTACTCAACAATTCTTCATCCACGAAATCAAATCCCCATGAATTCATAGTTTCATCATACCATGAAAATTTGACCCCACGAAAATATATGTGATTTTACTATGTTTACAATATATTTTTTGGGAATATCATAAGCAGCATAATGTTATATGAGTCATTGAGTGAACATGGAAATATGAACCCAGTTAGCATTTACATACATTTACAAGAGCTATGGTTACTGAAATGACATTACAATTCGCCTACAATTCCACATACCTAAATCCTACGTTTTCAGTGGTCAGGTTCTGCTGATTATCCCCACTGTTAGCTGGACTGCTTCAAAATAACATAAAAACAACATTGATCATCGTTTTTACATACAAATACTCCTACATCCTATTCCCCTCAAACCAGAAAAATTGCAATACCTTTGTGGACTGTATGCATAGAGAGCATAGTAATTTTTCTTTTCGACTGCTCCTTCTTCCGTCATTTTCAGATGTTATGGGTCACAGTAATGCATATCTGCCAAGCGAAAAATTTCGTGTTAGAAAGAGTTTTGCTGATCCAAATGATCACATGAGTCCGCTTGTATCAAGATGTAAACACACGTGATTTCTAAAAATATGTAAACTTACACATTGGCGGTGTTTTTGAAGTGACAGTGTCACTATCAGGTAAAATAAATTGTGAAAAGAGGATTTTCTTGAATAATTTGCTGAAATACCTCACATTTCTAGGTATTTGCTGCAAAAAATACATTAGCCCCACGTGCGTTATTTGTCACTCAAACAGCAGACGACTGAACAAACATGGCATGGTCAGGTCACTCAGGATCCGAGTTCCAGCAGTTTAAAAACACCTCGGCCACAAGAGGAAATAAGTTTCAACAGCAGCAGCGGAGTATATTAGGAAACAACAACCAATTCAATGTTAAACATTTCCAACAAGCTGGAGCCATTGTGAAAATTGAAGATGTCAATCAGTCTTCATCAAACATTGTACATAATCAAATTTATAACTATTTAGCTCACCTTAGCTGAAGGCCCAAGTGGGCTTTTCTTACCTTAGTTTATCTGTTTTCTGTTGGCGTCGCCTTTTTGTCGTAATTTGTCATAAACTTCTTGCAGCACTAGCTAGGCCTATATATAGGGCCTTAATTTATGTGTTGGACAAATTTAACCAAACTTGGCACCAAAAAATTCTTGGGTAAAAGGGATTAAATTTTTCAAGTGATTTCCACTTTTTTCCTTTCCAAAATGGTCAGGTGAGTGATATGGCCCTCGAGCCCCGTTTGTTCAAATGGTTACCCTGGGGGTAGGATGAGGCTACAATGGATGGACAAGAGTTTTTTAAACAATTTAAGGAATGCATAGGAAATTAAAAGCAATTTATAATTCAGTCTTTCAAAATTCTTTTCAAGGTACACTTTGCCAATTTCAATCAAGTTTGCCACAATTAAATGAGGCCGGTTAAAGGGGTTTAAGTTTGTTTTTAATGAGTTAAAGGCAGTATAGATAGTTTTCACTTGTCAATGACCTAAATTTAGCAAAAGTTACCTCCCGTGGCAGCCATACTGGAGGTCCAAATGCGCATATTGCTTCATTGTTCAACCAATTTAAAATTTTTATATTTGCGATTTTGAATTAGGAATCATTATTTTTCTGAAGTATATAAATTTTTGGAAGCCTCCTTTATTAAAAAAAAATATATGATAAAAATTTTCCAGCTAATATTTCTGCTAAATTTTCTTAAACTTGGTAAGACAAAGAGGAAAACTCACCGAGTCGACCTCCAATATGGCGACCAACGGGAGGTAACTTTTGCTAAAATTAGGCCCATCAAAAACTATCTATACATACACTTTCTTTTTAAGGGGAGATAATTCAGAATTAATGAAAGTTAATTGCATCCTTTCTCAATAATGTTACCACGTACTGGCCATAGAATAACTAAGGGCTACAGTCGGCAATCAACATCCCCCCTCCTCCCCAAGGGTCGGGTAAGTCAACAAAGGGCAATCAAAGTTTAACATAGAAATATAATTTATAAACAGGAAAAATGTGACATACTTGACCTGGATTCAGAACCTTAATTATTTTGCTATCTGGCTTCCGGCAAATGAGTTTGCAGGATCGAAGTGACATATTCACCAGCAAAAGAACCACTGTATAATGCACAATTAACAACTGATAACATATCCACTAATAACAAGGTGTCCATAAACTGCATAAAGGTTTTTTTTATTCCTTGCCAGTTCTATTAGAAATTGTTTTGATCAAAGAATTCCTTGTATTAACTCTTTACAACTTACTGAAATGTAACACAGCACACACTGTTCACATAAATATGATGCTTTTCCTTATCCCTGCAAGCACATCATACTCAGTGCAGTACAAGTTTCTCTAAAATTTAGCATAAATAATTATGATGCAATATTCTGATATCATTATAACTTTTCTTATTTTATGAGATTTTAGCAAAATATAAAATAGACGGAAATTGGCATTAAATTGAGGATTAAATTTAAGGATATCCGATCCTCAGCAAGGAAGGATAACTCCAAAAATTAAAATTTAATTTGAAATGCATCAAAATGAAGCTTGAGAATGTAATTTTTTTCATGCAACAATTTTCATTTTATTCATCTTTATAAGATTCAAGGTTTTTGGAAGTCTTAGGAAAGGTCTTATAAAAGTTGACATTTGTACCCTATAAAAGGAAAAAAAAAATACAATTTTAGAGAAACAAGATTTTCTTGAATCCAGCCTTAAATACCAATGATTATTAGAATGATATGGAATAAGAAGTGATTTGTGGTGTCTTGCAATGATACCAAAGGCCTTTTACACTATGTATGTATACATGACGGAAATAGAAGACAAAAAAAATACCAAATAAGTATAAAAATCATGACAGTTTCTCTGAATGCCTGGATACCTATCGTTTTTTAGCCTAAAATATATTTGTTGATCAATTTGTAATTAGAAAATGCATTGCTGACATTCCAATTCGCTTTTTTTGCAAAAATATTGGAGATTTGACAATTTCCCCTATATAATATGATTAACTTTAATCCTTAACTTTAAAGAAATACTGTGGATAAATTTACATAACTTTATGGATTCAGAGATACTTTTATGAGTATTTTTGATTACATAACTGCTATTTTTATAAACCTGAGGATCGGACTACCTTAATTTTGAAATTGCGTTAAAAATACATAATTGCGAGGAAACAGTATTTATGCTTGATTTTGCGTCAGAAATAGGAAATGTGTGACTGCGGGGAAGGAGGTTAAGGACTGAACTGAAGACATTCTTTAGTTTAAGCTGTTGAAATTCTCTAAAAAAGTAATTTAATTTTTTGATTTCAGAGTGTTGTTGGAATTATAATAGCTAAAGAGTCACCCAAGTCTATTATCTCAAGGAAAAGTAAGTATGCCTTTCCTACTAATTTTATAAATGAGTATATAATATTTGCCAAACCTTATACATTTCTTGTACATTTCTTTCTTTTTAAAATTGGCCTCTGTTTATAACTTGTTCTGTTGATAGGATTATTCGATCTTTTAATACCATAAAACAATGAATTTAAAATAACCCCCTACCCCCCTCACTCCAAAAACTAGGGATTTCATAGTTTTAGTATGGGGAGAAAGTTAAGAGGACATTTCTTTTTCAAATTCAAACAATAGAGCCTTACTTTCAAAATTGTTTAGATGTATATGAGACTTGTAGCTGGT